GCGTGAGGGAACTGGAGTTGCAGCTGTACAGAAAATGTCTACCTGGTGTAAAATAGACAGGACGAGCTATGCTGACTCCTATAGCTGCAGTGTCAGATGAGTTCTTTTCTACTTTAACTGCACTGTTCTGCAGAGAGAACACAGCAAGAGATGTGAGATTATTCATGACCATATTCAACGTAAGGGATGTTGTGTCAAAGGCTTGTTTTAGCAGTAGGTAAGGCAGAACGGAAGAGCCACAGTGAACTCTAGAAATCCAGCCTCTAAAACTTTACCTAGTTCTACCTACATAAAGCAACTAAGGATAAAAACCAGAAAAAAAAAGTCATGTTGCCGAAAAGACATGTCTATTTAAGTCAAATATTTTCTTAAAAACAAAATGACTCTTACCAGTATGCATGCAGTATTAATACTCTCTGAATTACACTACAGAACACTGTAAGACATAATTTCTAACATTTCAATTAGTAATTATCAATATTAAAATAATACAGCTAGCAATAATCAGCTCTTAAATTAGATTTTAAGTTCTCTGCTGGAAAAAAGAAAAGCTGTGTATATAATCAATGTTTGCAAGGTTACTGAAAGAAGTCCATTTCTTTCAGGTGCTGTTTTAGGTTTACCCAAACATTAGTAATGCAGTAGGTTACAGAAGAAATCTCTGCATGACTGCAAAATGCTGCACTGTGCTGCAGCAAATTTCTGCTACAGCAAAGTGTGTTGTTGCAGCAATACAAGTGATCATTCCTATACATGAAAAATAAAATAATACTTTTAGAAAGTCTGTATAAAATCTCCATTTCTTTTCTATCCTATTCTATTCTCGAAGTATTCCAACTTGTGTAATCAAACGATGTCATAAAATGATTATCAGATTTCTTGTAATAGAATTACATTAGTTTAACTCCATGGTTAATTAATAGATCATAGTGTTACCTGTTTTAATACTTATATTTTAAAAGATTTTGAACTGTTAATAGATTGCTAATTACATTTTACTTAAAATCAATGTATATCTGAATGATTATTTTACGGCTCTGAGCTTAAACATATGACTGAAGTCAAAATTGCTGTCAGTTTGCTTAAACAAGTAAATTCAAAGTACGCATGTTTCAAAAAAAACTACTTCCCCTAATTCCGAGTTCAGTGGTGTAGGCAATACAATTCTGTGCATCTCTGCATAACGAAGAAGTAGTTCGTAAAGTACAGACTCAGAAATGACAATGGCTAGTAGATGAGAAACTGTATGGGGTAGTAGACATAAATTATAAGAGAGTATACCACATACTTAGCACAGAATCCGTGAAGTAGTGGACACATTACATTTCACCTTTCTCGTGCTAGTGACATGGCAAAACAGAGCTGGTAGCAAGTTATTTCTCACTGTCTTATTCATTCAGCTTTTCACTGCTTTAGTTTGGTAATAGATTTATGAGAAACTCCTGTCAGAAGGCAATCATTCAATGTCAGGTTGTGAACCATGGGTTCACCTATGGATCTAAGACAGATGCCAAACTGCCAGAAATGAAATGGGAGTAGGATTCATAGTTCGGTAGAAACACAGTTGAAGAAAAGTCTCCCATTTCTGTTACTTAAATTGCCCAAGACTTAAAGGAGTACCACAAACTAATATTGTTGAAAGGATGAGGAAACCTCTCATATGACAAAGCAGCATCTCACAGAATTGTAACTCTCATATTTTCGATATTATAATCCATAGTTTATAGATTATAATCAATGTTATGAGAGACCAGTTCAGTAGAGTGTGAGTCTGCATATAAATGCATTGGTTACCTATTTCTCTTCACACAGGAACTCTGAATCTATTCTGATTTCGTAGAGGTTAACTAAGAACGTATTTTCAAATACTAGCATTTTTAACAACTGCAGCTTTAAGCAAGTTATGTAAGGATAGCTGAAATAAAATAATCAGTAACCTACGTGTATCTGACGGGCAATAAAGCGTTTAAAGTTTATATTTATGTAAAAGATTTTAGGACAAAAACAAACAGAGCTACCTTGAGTCTTGGTGTGTTTTTTGGCTTTGTAATTGAGGAGTTCTTGAGCTCAGCGTATTACCCTATGCCCCTTCATCCTACTGATTTGTCTTTATATAGCTTTATAGTTTCATGTGCTAATAATAAAACAAATAATTTGACAATACAGCTATGGACTTAAGTGAACAGACATATTTAAACAAATATACTAGTACCATATTTGATATTCAACAAATGCAATACTCAAAGGAAATCTTTTTTTTTTAACTGATCAAAGTTCTTATATCAATAAGAAATTTCTGCATGGAGCCCTTTTTAGGTGAGCATGAGCAAACACTAGATACTTTTTTAAAAAATGTACTTCTAAGTCTTGAAACAATAGAGAATTCCAATTATAGGGAACTTCTAATTGATGTTGACAAGAAAGGTTGGACCAGATGATCCTTGAAGTCCCTTCCAACCTGATATTCTAGGATTCCATAATTTAATCTTTTTTTTTTTGCTATAACTTGTCCTTATATAAGACAGCATGCTAGGGCTGTGCAGAAAATTAAAGCAAACCTTGACATACAGACAACTTAACTTCGCAGCTCTAAGATTCTCAATTCAATCAATTTTCATGTTATCTGACACAATTAGCTTACCAGTCAAATAGACTATGCTAATCACTAGTTAAAGATTTGCACTGTTTAACTGCGCTTATACAGTAATTGTGTGCTCTCATCCAAGCTTAACCAAAAAGCAATGAAAAAAAAAAAGAAGAATTTAAGTTTTGCCTCAAAGCCCTAAGCTTGCTCCATATTTGAGCTAAAAGGTATTAGAATGCCCAGCAAACCTGAATAAACAAAAGGTGGACTTTCACCTGCCTATGAGCATTACCGAATTTCAACTCACGCTGAGGCACAGCCACTTCTTAGTCAAAGTCCTCCCTAGACTCTAGACTCAGTTTAGTTGTTACACATAATGCCATTTGAGACTGTCCTGGTTTTGCTGGGATAGAATCATAAACTCGGTTTTCTGTTCAGGAGAGCTGCATTTCTAAGACGACTGCAGCAGCCGTTACTGTGAGAACAGAGTTGGTAAGATACTTCGTGTTAGCTCACGGCCAGCCATGGGGTTCGGGGTTCCACAGTGATCAAGGCCTCCAGCAGGCCTGAGAGAGCCGGGTGCTAAGCCGGGAGGAACGGAGGCCGAGGCAGCTGACCCAGGCCGGCCAACAGAAGTACTGCCTACCATGAGCGTCACGCTCACTGTAAGGTGGGGAGTCTGCTGGGAACAGCTCGCTCTCTCCTTCCATGGCTGCCGTCCCTGGAGGGTCTCGCCCGTCGCTCTGCTCCCGAGGCCGGCTCTCCCTGCGCTGGAGCTGTGCTGCTCGCAGTGGTCGCCAAACAGCATTGGCTGCTGGGAGTGCCCAGCTCCCGACCGCTGCCCGGGCTGAGTATAACTCTGTGCGCTTTATATTGCTTTAGTATCGGTATTAGTTTTACTGTTTTATTAAATCTGTTTCTATTTCAACCCATTTGAATCCATGAGTTTCCTTTTGTCCTCAATTTCCCTTTCTCGGCTGAGAGGAGGTTTTCAGGCGACAGAGCAAGTGCTAGTGTCTAGTCTGGAGGTGGGCTAAACCAAGACAGAGAATCTGTATGTTATCCAAAATGTTATGGATAGGCAGATATGACACAGAACCTCCAGATCCATGCTCTTCTCCATCAGGGTACGCAAGCAATGGGAATCAATTGCTTAAACACTGGCTTCTCATGCCATTTTGCCCCTGACTTCCAGTTGCTGGCCCAGCAAGAAAACGTATTCACTTGAGTCCTATGTCATATTTGGCAGCTCCTAGTAGATGTCTTAAATACACTAAGGCATCTCCAGATGATACAAGACACCAATTCTTAGGCAACTGGATTGACACCTAACGGAAGTGACCAAATATTAGCAAAGAAAAGCTTTGTCCAACAAACCAAACAGTGTATTGATACTGAAGACATCTAGAGTTGAAATCACCCCATCTTTTCTCTTCTTAGACTGATATAATAGAAGATGAGGAGAAGGAGAGACACTCAGTATTTTTTGGCTCTACAAAGTGCGAGAAGAATAGCTGCCCCAGCTGTGCCATTGATAGTACCCAGCATAATGGGTGACCCAGGTCACCCACCCAAGCTGAGGTTTCTACATACAACTCTAAAACAAATAGGTGAAAAAGCTTTTATTATTGCCTATTATTCTAGCACTAAGATAACTGCATTCTCACATCTTAACATATATTAAAATCTGGACTAGACTGAAACTAAATGATAGCTAAGAACTCTTGACTATGATATAGCCTTCTGTCGTATCTTACAGCTAAAGCAATAATGGAAATATTTTAAATTAGTGAATTTTTAAACTAAGATCTACAAAACCCTGGAACTTACTTTTCTTTATGTTGAGAATTTCATTATGAAATGTCTAAGTAGTTACATGCTATTCTCCAGTAAGAACAACTTTTTTTTTTTTTCAAAATTTCATATTTCTAATAGTAAAGATAGAATTCTGACTACTGGGAGAATTCTTCAGAATTTCTCTTTCAGAAAAAGCATAAAATGTTACCCATATTCTATTTGTCAAACTATTGTATTAGAATTTGGTGACCAAAACTAAAAACTTAACTTACAGCCAACAGCAGCTGTAAGAACTATCCCATTGATGGAAGTTAGATTAACAGTAAAAATAGAACTAGTGAAACTACTTAAATCTGTGGATACGCTTCAACATGAGCTACATTGTTGTAAACTTTCTCAAGAATTCTCTATTTATTTAAGTCCTAAATGAATATCTTTGTAACTAAAGATAATTGTTATTATACTAAAATATTCTACAGATAAAATTCAACATAGTCCAAAAGTCCTTCCATTTACTCTGACTTTCTCATGGAAATTTATATTTATGAAGGTGGTTGGGTTTTCTAGCTTATACTGGATGCAGAAAAGATTCAGAGGTCAATGAAAAAAGTAACTTTACCTGGGAACTGATCATACGTTGTGATGAACGAGCAATATTAGCAGGCAGGCCAAAAAAGTCAGGCTTATCATCTTCTGGAAGGCTTTCAATAATATTACGATAATCCTGCATTAGAAGAAAAGAATAAACATAACCGAGGAACTTTTTGTTCAGCTCATGAAATTAACAGTGTAAACTGAAAAGAATTTCATTAAGTGCACCGCATAACACAAAGATTAAAATAAGTATATAATAAAGGACATACCTTGGTAATCTTATTTATAAATTTCTTAATTTTATTTATAAAAAACTATCTTCTTTTATACAGTGTTTCCACTTTAAAAGAGCAAAAAGCAATTCTGATTACAGTGATGCTATCAGCTGAAAAGAAAAATACGCTAAGATGGTCTCTGACATGTAGTTACAATATTCCTGTTGAAAACTTAAAAGTAAGATTAATGACAGTATAAAAAAGAAAAAATATTTTGGCATTTGGAATTCTATTATAGAGTATAATACATATTTATAAAATGAAGAGCACTCACTTCTATTTAAATCTATGAAGATATCACTCAAGGAAAGTGAAATCATTTAGGTAAAAGTAGTTTTGCATGATCATTGGAGATGCAGAATAGATAGCATCAATAATGGTTATAGTGTAATAGTCACTAGTGATGCTGCTCTTGCACAAGACAGAAAGAGGCCTTGCAGACTAACGTAGACTAATGGTGCTGGATGTCTCTTTCACTGTGGCTTTAAAGGCAAAAATATTTACTAACTGAAAGTCTGGCTACACCCTATTGCATTATATCATGTGCATTTTGTCCTTTGCATGCAGCAGCATGCCCTGTGTGTGCACAATTTACTTTGACACAGAATCTCACTTCAGAAATAACAGTAGCAGACCTCACCAAATGCTGAGGGAACACTAGTAAGAGATATTATTCCAATTAGCTTCAGGAATCAAACTTAGCTTTATTATTAGTGTTCCACTAATCAAAACTACTTGCAGAAAAATATTTAGGACACAAAAGTATAAACTCTCACATAAATGATCATATAAAAAATAGAGCGATATTAACTGCAGTGCAGGCAAGAAGAAAGGTTCATCTCTTTGACCATGTTATCTACAAGAATAGAAACCAGTATGGTTTGTTTATTCATTCCCTCTTTATGATATCAATTCAGCACATCTATAGAAAATAGCTGTCATATTTAAAGTAAAAAAAACCAAACAGTCTAATCTGTTTGTCAGATTAGAATCTAAACAGTCAGAATCCAGGTGGAGAATGCCAAATGACAGCAATTTATTTTAACTGGCATAATTGATTTACATCAACTCATATTAGAGGTCTAGTATGGAGTCCTACAGTAAAATGCAAATGTATCTTAATAATAGTAAAAACAACAATGAAGTGTGCAATGATAGGGAGAGATCAGCTCTTTAGATTCTGTTGAATTCCCTCTTGTTACACTAAAGAAATACTAAAGGAGAATATTTATCTCCAAATAAAATGTCTTACACCCTCCAAAGCATGTTAGAAGATTATGTCAGAATGTTGATATATTTTGTAAATAAAGAGATATATTTAGATTTTTCTATTTCATCCATAAGTTATACGAATGTTTAACAGTCTGTACAAAAGTGCTATTATGTTAACAAAGTTATATAAAAATGTAATTATATCCTTCTTTGTCATAAATTCACCCAATTTCTTTTACTCAGTTCTTCATAGCTATGCTGCTCTGCACCATAGTCCAATCACATATCATAAAAAAGGAGACTGACCAAACAGACTAGCAGAAAAGTTCCGACAACTTAAGAAATAGTGCTCCACACAAAAGAAGGCTTAAATAAATGGAGGTATCCTTTGGCTTGTAACTCAGGTTTTATTTGTGGAATTATTTCCAAGAATAATTCTTGAAAATAACTTATTTTAGTTTCTGTATTAGGTGATAGAAGATGTATACCTACCAAAATACTGCAGGAATTCGGTAAAGAGATCGAATATGGGAAACTAGTCATCTTCCTGCCTCTTGCATTTAAACTGCCAATGACTCGTGAATTGAAAAGCTGCTCCAAGTAGGACCGAAGAACTCTCATATCGAAGTAATTATCTACACGGCCTCCATAAATTGCATTTTCAAACAAGCCATGCACAAATTCCCACTGAAAATCTTTGGAACCTGTAAATTAGTTAATATTAGTTTTGTATTAATGGGTAGCATTGTATTATAAGCATTTCTTCTTGTCATTGCAGTTCTTCAGTGAAACAAAATTAATTACTAAGTTTTTTTTCTTCTATATTACAAAATAATAAAACTTGCAGAAAATTCAATGAGTTTGTAAATATTTGTCATTGATAAAATGAACATTTACTGTGTTTCAAAATGAGTTATTAGAAATATTACTTAAGTCTTGAAGTGCTTTTTACTGTAGATAAACCAACTGGTTATATGAATTTCAGAAATTATGTTATTAAAATTTTAATTATGTGCTCCTTTGTCATACACAAAAAGAATTTCCCTTGTTCAAAATTTTATACACTGTTTTGCATTGCAGTACCATCTGACCTCATAAAATAAACTGATTGATTGAATCAAAACCAGATCATGCTCAAAATCAATAACATCACTGGAAATATCACCTTTCAAACACAAAGAGATCCAGGATAGGTACTTTGTAAATCATCATAAATCACACAACAAAGCACATAAAACTAAGTATGTTACTATTAGTTTCCTTGCCAGATTGATGATGCAATTAGATAACTCTGGCTTAGGTATATCCCAAAAGTTCAAAATAACTTATTTTCCCTCCCTTCTATCACAGTCATCCCAAATAACTACATGATCTATTTATAGGACAATGATCTATTTATACCCTGTAGCTGTCATGTGCAGGTAAAAGTTTGATCAGAATCGTACTTCTTAAAGTTCCTTGAAAAAAGGAAGCGGCAATTACTTTAAGGGTTGTTTTATTGGTGGTAATTGTTGTGTCCAAACATTTCAATCATTCCTTCAGAAGAAAAGTTATCTTCACAGTTAATGACTAGATTAATGATTATCATTGTTATTTAATGATTCAACCTCTTTACATCACTGTATGTTTCTAGTCTGTATAACTGAAGTCCAATTCCAGAAGTACTGATCAACCATAGATCTCATTTAAGTTAATACTCATAAATTATCTCTAAATATCAGGTCCCAACTTCACTTTGAAATAATATAAAATGCAAAGTTTTTTTTTAAAATCACCTTTTTCATATTAACTAATATTAAGAAATTATTACACTACTTAACAGAACTATCTAACAGTGAGTTTCAATATGAAGCATTCATATTCAGTTCATATTCAATACACTCAATATATGGGGGAGCTCACACTGGAAAGGAATGGACAACGAAGACGTCATCTTCCAGGCACTCTGGTATTTCTTATTTATCCCCCCAGACTCAAGAAGCGGGGCAAAATAGTTCTTGGCACAAGTAAATTATTCGTTTACCCAAACTCCCAAAAAGGGAATTATGATTCACCCTGTGTTTCTAGCTTTGCTTACTGGTAATGAACCTTGCAGCATCTCTACTCTTATATAAGTGTTGCAGAAAGATTAAAGTTCTTTATGCAACATCTCTACTAATGGTAAAATGGGACATGTCCCATTTGAACTCAAGGTCAGGTGGCACAAGGTGGCTTGCATCCATACAGCTAAACCCTTTGGCCCTAAAATAAGGCAACGTCTGATCTGCGGCCTATTGGAAAGAGTCTCCAGGCTCTGTTATCTGACAAACCATACCTTGTCACTGCCTACAAGAATGCCAGTCTGCATAAGCCAAATATGGGAAAAAGTAATCCTGATCATTGAATAGTTTTGAGCCTGTGTCCAGCCCTTAGCAGTTTACTAATACAGACATATCCTCAGAGTCTGGATCTACATCCAGAAAAGCCTCATAAGCCTAAGTACAGCTGATTCAGGGTCAGACTACTTCCCATACTGAAGTAGTTAGTTAACTACCCGGTCATGTGTTTATATTTGTGAAAATGTTCCAACGAAGATTCAAATGCAAAAATTAAAAATGTTCAAAGCAGTCTTTAAACAGATTTGGCCCCACTCCAAACTCCAAACAAAACAATCATGCAAAGTAACCAATTTATAAAAATTACTGTGAATTTTTTTAATATTCTAAAAATTTTCAACTAGAGACATTCAGAAGGGTTATGCTACAGAAGTGAGAAATCTTTCCTTAAGAAGTGACTTACCCTCAAAGAGTCTATCAATAATGTCAAAACCAGCACGGAGATCAGATAAAGAAAATTCATAAAACTTGGTCCAACCCTACCATTAAAAGTAAACCAAAGAATTTAATTAGTCACATGATGATCATGAAGTAAAATATAAAGATTATGTGGTTAGTGAATATTGTATAATACTTAATACTGGCTGAAAAAAGAGACAACCTATGTCCTCTAAAGTGCATCTCTGGAACAATTCAGTGGAGGTAGTACAAAAAAAATCAGCTCTACCAGTGCATTTAATTTTACATACTTATACGAACTAGAAGCCATTGACTATGAGGAATGTAAACTTAAGATTATTTTATTACATTACAGTATTTACTTAAACTAAAACTTACTGATGCTGTGACTAGATCATGCATAGCATTATGGTTTTATTTCTGAGGGGTTTTTTGTATTTCAGTTTCTTTTGGATTTTCGTAAATAGGTCTGATTCTTCAAACAGTCTACATTATATTTTCATCATCTAACCCCTTAATTCATGTCACTTCTCTAATAACTGAAAAAATTATAATGAGAAAAGCAATTACTGCTACTATTACAGTAAAAATGCTAACCACTATATGCATATTTTAATAATTCTCAGTTTGTACCTCCTTCCTGTTCTTGGTGGGATTATTATTTATATAGCATTAATGTGTAATGCGTATGTAATTCTCACAAAAAAAACTTTTTCTGCAAACAAGTAAGTATGAAACAGAACCTAGGAAATCCAGATCTCAAAGGTATCTCCTGTTGCTGTATCTTCTTATGGCTGTACTTTTGCGTATGGATCCTATCATAGGAACAGGTGCATATGACTCATGATGAGAAACGTGCAACGTGTCAGATAACACGCACATATCCAGCGAGATGGATACAGTTTCAGATCAAGACTGCAGCTGCTCCATAGATCACAGTCAAACTCAGCCAGTCACCCTGAAGGTCATAAACTGTAAAGATGCTGCAGTCTCTCAACAGTGTCCATGTATTTTTTTGACAGATCTGCACATGGACCCAAAACAACCAGAAATTCATCATAAAACACAAGAGCCTGTATATCTGGATTAATTGCAGTCCAGCAATGTTAGAAACTGGTAATCTTAAGCAAAATATAAAACCATCACTAAGTCTGCACATGAGACAAATATAGTTACAGTGGAATTAAGGAGAAAGCAGTAATTCTATCTTGTGTTACTTGGAAAGCTGGTGGTAAATGAACATGAATTTGACAAAAGCCAAATGAGAGTTCATGTGTCAGATCAGTACTTCAAATATTTTCACATATTCTACTTGAACACCATATTCAAAGTCTGTTATTGCGAGAGGCAAACAACCTTATAAATCACAAAGTCAAAACTAGCAAAAAACTCTCAAACATTCCAGGGTCTGACAGATCAAATCTTTCAGATGACAGGTTAATTTCACCCCTAGTCTACATAAAATAAACAAGACCTAAAACAGTTTGTTGGTTGGGGTTTTTTTCTGTTTAACTTAAGCATCTGCAGCCAGAAAGAAATGTTTGCTTTAACCAAAAAATTATCGAAGGAAAAATCACGTCACAGTCTCTGAAAACCATTATAATCCTCACAAGAAACAAGTAAATTCCTTTGTTCTTCTTTCTCCTTGAACAGGTTTTGCGTGCAGAAAGAGTAGACAATAGTGTCTCCTTGCCACAAAGTGTCTCTTTTCTCACGTCTTCTATTCAATCATGTATGTTTCCAAAATATTTTTTCTCATCCCAAGCAAATAGGATTCACAGAATCTTTTCCATGGGACCTCACTCTGGCATCAGTATCAGTTAGTACAGAAATCACAAAATAACCCCATGCTGGCAGTAGCAATTTTCAGAGGGACAGGAATTTAGGCTACCAAGGCCTTACTCTGCAATTAATTCAGAGCAATAATGAAGGCAGGCACCAGAAGTATTCAAGTTTTTCTCATCTCTGAACATGACCCATCATATACCTGATGAAAAATACTCCCAAATGTAAAAGCTAATAAATGGGGTAGATTTTTAAAAAGGTACCAAAAAAAATTATTACCTGAGGAATATAATTTCTTCTTTCTTGGCATACAGCATGAAACCATGCTAAAGAAAAGAGAGAATGTGCTCGAGACAAATTTCCTTCTTTATTAATTTGCTCTGGTGTCCAAGATTCATAGGTTCGCAACAGATTCTTTTTGAGGCCTGGAGGTGCCTGCATTGGAAGGTAAAACACTGTTCTAGACAGAAAACCTGATCCTTTTATGTACTATTTCCTTAAATTTTAACTTACAATTTATGACTCAATGAAATGGCAAACTACTTAATAAAACATAATTTAACAAGAAAAAAATCTGCTTGTAATAAATGGCCTAACAACAGAATGATCTTACACTGAAAATAACTTAAACGTACCGACGGAAATTGTAAGCAGGACCAACTGATAGAAGGACTGAGCTACACTAAAAGAACTTTGTGAAAGAACAGTACTCTATCAAAACACGTAGGCATAAAAGTAAATTCAATTTTTTCAAGAAAAAGAACCTTTCTTCTGATTTTAAAAGTTCAACTACAAATTACCATTTCTGTCATCAGAGCCAACTCCCCTTATGCCATCACCACACTCTGTTAGCTGGCATATAGATATGGTACATATGTATGATAAAATGCCAGCTCTCTGGCTTAGTGGTAGGTAATGTTCACAAACAGTAGAAACAACTGCAGTTAAAGTGTCTGTAATAACAAAGATTACAGTGCTTAAAAATAAAAACAACTAATTAGATACCCAGCCATTTTCAAATTATTTGCAAGTGTGAAGGCACACATAAATTTTAAAGAGATTTAAATCACATTTTCATATTTGTAAGAATGTTCGTTCTTTCTTTTGAAAAATAATGGTTGTTAATGTTTCCATAAGAATACCACAGTTGCATATGTTGCATATGCACACTTGTGCATATGCACACTGGTGGCAAGTAATTGCAAAATACTATAGTAAACTGACGATTTTTTTTTAAATATCTACATCTTGATTAGTAACAGTTAAAAGACATACCACAACCATATAATAATTAAATATTATTAGCCAAGTCACTGGCTCTCATTGTCCTTTCATGGTAACAAAATATTTACTCAAAAAGAAAAGGTAACAAAAGGATTTAAACATTGCATCAGTGCAAAGTTCCAACTATTCCAAAGACAGTAGGATCAGTAACTTCAAGAAGCTAGATGAAAACAAAAGTGACAATCCTATGCAGTCAATATAAACAAGAATAAAAATAGCTGCAGCCAATCTAAAAGTGTAACAATTTTGGCTTCTTGAAAGTCAGCAACACTGGACTCTAATAGGTCAGAGCTTCTTGGTTTAGCTATAGGCAAAATTTCCACACTCCATAACCAATAGAAGAGTTAGTAGCACCCTTATCCATGATTTCCATAATGGACATTAATGCATATGTGAATTAATGACTAGAGCACTTTCCAACAAGTTGGAGAAGCATGGTCCCAGTTATTTCTTAGGTTGTGCCATTTTGAAAGCAACGTCCACAATTTTTAGTAAAGGCTTTTATCTGTATGTTCTGCTGTATGGGAGGAGAGCCACTTTTGTTGAAAGGGTCCAGTGAATATAAAGCTATGGGATCAAAATGAAAAATAAGGAAGAGAAGGTGTGATTCTGTGATCTTCAAATGAGGACATTCATCAAGAAGGAGGAATTCCTTGTTTTTCATCCATGTTCCAGCACCTGTGTAGGTTTTTGTTTTTAAGAAACACTGATTAAATGCATAAAAGAATTTGGAGCACAAAACAGAACAAATATTTCCCCCAGGTAAATTTATTTTCAGTTTAGACTTTCAACTGGAAAAAAGTATCTGGAAAGAGATTTTACAAACCTTCCCTTTAAAGCACAGCTTCTGCAAATTTCGTTTTATATATTACAAATGATCATCAAAAATCTTTCAAGGCAAATTCATAGCACTTTTCATATTACATCTGATTGAAATATAAGGCAACACTAGTTATGTAAATAGTCCACATTATCCAAACTTTATTCTATCTAAACACATAGTTTACAATACATCCATGTTAATTCATTGTAAACATGTAATAAAATCTTACTTCGTAAGTTATTTTCAGGCTTGATTGAAGCAAAATTGGAGTAAATTTTGGATGAACTTCAGTAGTAAGCCAAAGGCGAAAGTTTGGTTGAGGCTGTAATGTATTCAGTTCCTATTAAAGAGATGTTATATATTGAAGTAGCCTTTGGGTTGTTTTTTTTTAATACATAGAACAGTATTTACAAAACTGTAACATTCTACATTTGAAAGTTAGGCTTGTCTAAAAAAATCTTTAGTTGATTCACAAGTAAGGTTATTCAAAAGACTATAGTTCAAGATGCGTTATCTCCGTACATTCTATATGTTCTCTGTGCTCAAGTTGCAAGTTCATCCTAGCTGTGTCAAAGTATTTGCACACACACAATGATCCTAAATATTATAAAAACACCAGAAGGCTGTATGTCAAAAGATGAAGGCTTGGAATGTGGGCTGCATATCAACAACAGAACTCAACGACTTTCAACAACTGTATAGCTACATTAATTTCTTTTTCTTCAAGTGTTTGTTGTATGCACACTTCATGTACCATGATTCATAGAAAATGGAGTTCTTAGAGAATAAATATTGTCAAATGCTACTTCAAATATAAAGGTTTCACAAAAAATATGTAATTACTGGATATATGCAAACATACTGTTGGTGCTTTATGTGCATCTGAAAAAGACGTATTTTCCACTGAAGATACCAAAACTTTTTGACAATTGACTTGAGAACAATGTCAACAGTTTTGTGTATGCATCTTGGAAGAAACATAGCTCAAAAAACTCTTACCGGATTTTCTCACAAGCCATTCATTTTGATAATCTCTACAGCATAATCATTTTGTTTTTGGTGTTTAGAGTGAAGAAAAAAATTCTGCCAACCCATTAATGGCTCTGCTCTTTAGGCAAAATGACAACTCTATCTGGTGCCTAGAATCACAGAATTGTTGAGGTTGGAAGGAATCTCTAGAGACTGTCTAGTCCAACCCCATGTTGAAAGCAGGGTCAGCTACAGCAGGTTGCCCAGAGCTGCGTCCAGTCAGGTTTTCAGTATTTCTCTCTGGGAAGCCTGTTCCAGTGTTTGACCAACCTCACAGTAAAAAAATGTTTTCCTATGTTTGAATGGCAATTCCTGTACTTCAGATTGTGCCCATGGTCTCTTGTCCTGTCAAGGGACATCACTGAGAAGAGTATGGCTTTGCCTCCTTTACTTCCCATCAGCCAATATACACTAAATAAGATTCTCCCCAAGGCTTCTCTTCCCCAGGATGAACAGTCCCAGTTCTCTCAGTCTCTCTTTGTATGACACATGCTCCAGTCCCCTCATCACCTTTGTGGCCCTTTACTGGACTCGATCCAGTATGCCCATGTCTCCCTTGTATCGAGTAGCCCAGCACTGGCACAGCACTCCAGATGTGCCTCTGGCTGACCAGAGGAGAAGGATCACCTCCCTTGACCTGCTGGCAACGCTCTGCCTAAAGCAGCCCAGGAGGCAGGTGGCCGCCTTTGCCACAAGGGCACACTGCTGGCTCATAGTCAGCTTCTTACCAGGACTCCCAGGTCTTTTCTGTCAAACTGCTTTTCAGTCAGTTAGCCCGCAGACTGGGTGCCTGCAGTTACTCCTTCCCACAGTAAGCACTTGGCATTTCCCTTTGCTGAACTTCACAAGGTTCTTGTCAGCCTATTTCTTCAGCCTACCAAGGTCCTTCTGAATGAAAGCCCACTCATCTGTTGTTATCAATCATTTCTCCCAGTTTTGTATCATCTATACTTGCTGAGGATGCACTCTGTCCCATTACTCATGCCATTAATTAAGATGTTAAACTATGTTGGCCACAGTATCAATGGCTGGAGCACACCACTGATAACTGGTCTCCGTCTGGATTTTTTGCCACTGAAAACAAACATTTGAACCATGCAGTTAGGCCAGTTTTTCAATCTACCTCAATGTGGTACAGTCAGGTCCATATTTCATCAGCTTGTCTATGAGAATGTCATGGAAGACAAACTAAGATATGAAAATAATCCACAGCCTTAGAAGCAGGAGATTTAAGGAAAGAAAACAAGGGAGTTTACATGCTGGTTCAAGTGCAATCATCTGCATCACGCATCTTCTGATATATTGTGTTTGGCTAGAAGACAGCTAAGGGCACTCAGTTGTAAGCTTTGAAGGTGTCATCTTCATATTGATAAAGTTCATATTGACCAGAAGACATATTTCATCTTCTCAAACGGAAAGACTGTGAGAACTAAATTTATGTACCTGGATGGAACTGAATTATAAATAGGCAGAACTCTCTTAAGAGGATGTTCAAACATATGAATTACATAGCCTCACACTTGCTAATGATATGCAAAACAGACAAGGGGATGTGCTGAGTCAAACATCAGCAAATCTCAGTCTGTATTAAAGCTCAGCAGGACTTAACACATTCAGTATTATGTTCTTCTGGAAAGAATAAGAAACTTCTAATACATATACATATTTTAATACTTACAAGATCTAAAATTATATAATTAGTAAAAGGCTTACAAACACTTCCCTAGTGTTCACTATCATATTCAGACTAGATGACTGTGCTGGTTTTGGCTGGGATAGAGTTAAAGTTCTTCAGAGTAGCTACTATGGGGCTATGTTTTGGATTTGTGCTGAAAACAGCATTGATAATATAAAGGTGTTTTTCTTATTGCTGAGCAGTGCTTACACACAGTCAAGGCCTTTTCTGCTACTCACACCACCCCAACAGCGAGTAGGCTGGGGATGCACAAAGAGTTGGGAGGAGACACAGCTCGGACAGCTGACCCCAACTGACCAAAGAGATATTCCATACTGTATGATGTCATGTTCAGCATATAAAGGTGGGGAAAGAAGAAGAAAGGGGGAGACATTTGGAATTACAGTGTTTGTCTTCCCAAGTAACCGTTGTGCGTGATGGAGCCCTGCTTTCCTGGAGACGGCTGAACCCCTGCCTGCCGACAGGAAGTAGTGAATGAATTCTTTGCTTTGCTTTGCTTGTGCATGCGACTTTTGCTTTATCTATTAAATGGTCTTTATCTCAACCCACGAGTTTTCTCACTTTTACACTTCCAATTCTCTTCCCCCCATCCCACCAGGTGGGGGGTGAGCAAGTGGCTGCATGGTGCTTGGTTGCCACCTGGGGTTAAATCACAACAATGACACACATCAGTGTTACCTTGCTTTGCCTTTCCATTTTTTCAAAATGGATTGTAACAATGTTAAAGGCACATGCATGTCACATGGTCATTACTACACAGAAGACAGACTCCAAGCTCGTGTGCATGGAGTACAATTTATGGTCAATCACTAGAAACAGGAAAATTAAGATAGTAGTAACTGCTGATAGGAATTCCCCATGTTACTTTTTTAAGTTAGTTTGTTTTGTGGATTTCACAGTGACATACATGTAAAGTCACTTTGATTTAGTTAGCAAATTAATGATTTTACATGCCATAAGTAAGAGTGTGTTTTTATAAAACATCAGACATTTTAATTTCAGATTAGCATAAACTTTTAGAGACTCAGACAAAAGATATACTTAACAAAAAAGAACTATTAAAAAGAAAGTCCTAGAACTCAAAAAAAACCTCCAACAGAATAAATTCAAGCATACATAGATTCAGAGTCTAACAAACATGGGGAGTGTCCCATAAAGTACCAGAAGTTCTAACAGAAGCATTTATTTCTTCACTCACTGTGGCAGAAATACTCTACATTGTATGAAAATTAAAGTGCTCACACAGAGGAAGGAGCTACTTAGATCTGAAGCATTTCACCTTACTCATGATTGAGAAAATTGCAAAGGTTTATTTTTAAATTGTTGGAATTTTAAACCTCACTGTGGAAATGCCTGAAATGCTTCAGAAATGCTGCATACTAATTTTGTCTGATTTCCAATGCATTCTTGTCTAGTTAACCCTCACCTTTTCCAATACAGGAAGCCAAGATGTAACAAGATGCAGGTTCTTTAAACACAGCCATTCTCCATTGCGTGCACATTCCTTTAAAGTTTGAAGAGCCAGGTCAGCTTGGCCTTGGCCCATTGCAATCTGAAATGACAGACACAGTTGTATCAGGAATTTATCATACTTCATTTAACAGCTAAATACAAAATTGTGTTTCCAAGTTAGAATGCATATGTAAAAAAGAAGGTGTGCTACAGATAAGCAGAATTTTCTCTAATGTGATAGTCTACTAAAGTAGGGAAAAGATTAAGGAAAATGCTGTTTTTTCCTTGCAACCTATCTAACCAGAGTTTCTTAAGAAACATTACCTAGTCTTTTTATGGAAAAAACATACAACACTTGGTAACAGTGATGGCATTCCCTGTGAACTCAAAAAGTTAATTTAAATATCAGTGACTAAACTGTATTACTGCAGGACTGCTGATACAATAAAAATAAGAGATAAATGAGAACAAATTTTCTTTTGACTGTAAGTTAGGAGTACTTCCTTTGAAGAGAAACATTCAATTTCATATTAAGATGAGTGAAAAACTAAGGCTGCTCTCTTTCCAACTGGGAAATATGAATACCTTAACAAACAGTCTTTTCTTCACTTTTTTTATAGTACCATATTGCTTCTAAAATAACTTTGAATATTCAAATGAAGATATAAAGATCCAAAATTGAATTTTTCAGATAAATTAGTGAAAATTGAAAATAAAGGTCTTGTTCTGTAGCACAATTACAGCAACAATTGATGTTAAACTATCTGTAGAATACATTCACCTTAGTTCTACTTTAGAATCTAATTGGAAGTTATACATAACAAAAACCCTTGAACCAAATCACCTGAAAAGACAGTGGGTCTTAGCTACTCTGAAAAGTCTCGTCTTGGCATTACTGCTATAGCAAAAAAAACTATTGTGATTATTTTGACTTCCTCAAATATCCCTTAAGAGGAAATCCATCTTCTCTTTTTATCCTAAAACTGTATTGAATCAAAGAAACTTGGGGCCTTAGCTTTATATGATGATGCAGAGACATCCTCTGCCTAAATAAAACTGAGTATAGTATCTTGAAATAATTTAAAATAGCCAAAAGAAGATAACTGAAAGTCACCAGACAAATGTGTAGTACACCACACAAATTTAGTGGTCTGTTCTTTATCGTATATGAAAAATGATTCAAGAGAGAAGAAAAATCTGATCTTCTATGTTCTATTCAAATTGCATGAGAAAGTGCAGGAAAAAATAGTAACAAAAATATTTTCATTAGTAGGACAACGTTCAGATGATTTAGCTTTAAGTACCGCTCCTTAATCAAATACCATACCATGTTACATTTTAAAAGTCCAACATGTAAAGGTTATTTAGAGATAAACACAAAAAGCCATGTGGCAGAGTAAGAAATATGCATTCTGAAATGTTCACAGCTAGATAAACTGTCAGTAGGATCTAAATCTTTACAACTTGATAGGAAAAATATATTACATTAGCGCACATTCCAGGAAAGGAACAATTTCAAGGTCTATTTCAACAACAACATTAAACTTGACATTTTCCATTTCTATGCTAACCAGTGATCAGCTAGATAACAACTCTCCTCCCCTGAATATTTCAAATGACAGAAGGAAATAATGTTTTAGAGAAAGGTATAAAGCATATTGGTACTGTGTATTAGGAATATAGAATAATTTGAGTCGGAATGGAAACTGGAAGTTCTCTAGTCCAATCTCCTACTCAAAGTAGGGCCAGCTAAGAAAGATCAGACCAGGAGCTGAGGGCTTTGTCCAGTGGACTCTTGGGAACCTCCAAGGATAGAGACTGCACTGGGAAATCTGTTTTACTGTTGTCATGGTGAAAAAGTTTTTCCTTACATTCAGTCATAGCCTACCTCATTACCATTTATGCTCATTGCTTCTTTCCACCATGCCTGATTACAAAGGGTCTGAGTCCATTTTCTCAGTGACCTTTTTGTAGGTATTGAAATACCGTTATTAGGTCATCACAAAGATTTCTCTGCTGGCAGGGCACAGTGCTGGCTCATGTCCAGCTTGTCATCTACAAAAACCCTCCTGTATTTTTCAGCAGAGGTCCTACCTAGCCAATCTATTGTCAGTATTACTGCAAGGGCTTCTTCTTTCCAATGGGCAGGACTTCACATTTCTTGAGTTCTCTAAGGCTCCTGTCAGCCAAGGAAAGCCAAGGTGAGCTGTCAGCCCATTGGTCAGTGGGGCAGGGCACATAGTGACAAGGCACGTGCAAAAGGTTTGAGGTACTCAATGCCCTTTTAGTCTGAGGTTTAACCGCTGGGGCTTGCTCTCATGCATCCCAAGTCTCCCAAACCTACCAGCAGGAGTGAAGCAATATCCACAGTAGAGACAGAGAGATTTAGGAATCACTCAACACACTCAGAAATAAAAAAGTCCACAGGACAAGACGGGATGCATCCAAGAGTGCTGAGGGGCCAGCTAATGTCTTCTTGCTTTCATCTTCAGTATTATGTTATGTTGATCTCGGGTGTTTGCAGATGAAAAAGGAAAATGCCATGTGTATCTTCAAGAAGGGCAAGGATGAGAATGATCTAGGTAATTACAGGCTGGTCAGCTTCCACTCAGTCCCTGGCAAGGCTATGAAGCAAGTCTGAGAAGCCATTTCTAAACACATGAAGAACACAGAGGCAATAAGGAGCAGCCAATATAGATTTACCAACAGCAGCTCATGCCTGATCGACTTCATTGCTTTCTATGAGGAGATGACTGCTACTGTGGACAAGGGGGTGCCAGTGAATGTTGTATATCTTGACTGTAGTAAGGCTTTTGACAGTCTCCCATATAATTTTATCATCAACTTGGAGAAATACAGGCTGAAGAAGTGAAAAATAAGATAGGCAGAAAAATGGGTGGACTGCTGGGCTCACAGGATGGTCAGCGGTGCAGAGTCCAGCTGGCTGCCAGTGACTAGTGTTACCTCTCAGAGATAAGTACTAGGACAAATACTGTTTAATGTCTTCATCAGTGACCTGGGTTAGGTAATCGCATGTACTTTCAGCAAGCTAATGGATAATACTATTAACCCCAAAGTGGGGTGGGGAGGAGGGTGAGCAACCAATAAGCTGGAAGGGAGGGTTGCTACTCAGATGGACCTGAACAGAATGGAGAAACAGGCTGGTAGTTCATGAAGTTCAACAAGGCAAATGCAAAGTCCTACACCTGGGATGGAATTACCCTATGCAACCATACAGGCTGGGGTCTGCCTAGGAAGCAGCTTTGCAGAAAAAGAGGCCCTAGGGGACAAGAAGTTAACAACAGGCCTGTCAACAACAGGCCCTTGTTAACAAAGGCCAATCACATAATGGGCTGTATTAGTAAAAGCTTTCAGCAAGGCCAGGGAAGTGATCCTTCCCCTCTCTTTGGAACTTGTGAGATCACCTCTGGAGTACTGTGTCCAGTTTTGGGCTCACCAGTACAAGACAGACATGGTCATACTGAAGTGATACCAACATGGTCAGGGCACACTGAGCAGGGTTTGTTTAGCCAAGCAATCAGGACACCTTCTTGCTGTCTACAACTACCTGATTGAAGAATGCAGAGCAGACAGAGCTAGACTCTTTCAGAGGCACAGGGTGACAGGACATGAGTCAATGCACACAAGTTGGAACATGGGAAATATTGATATCGATACTAGTAAAAAAATTCTCCTGTAAGAGTGGTCAAATACTGGAACAAGTTGCCCAGAGATATTGTGGGATCTCCATCCTTAGAGGGGGAGGACCTCCCTGCTTTGAGCAGGGGGTTGAAGTAGGTGATCTCCAGAATTCCTTTCCAGACTAGGCTATTCTATGAATTTAACAGCTACAGTAAATTTATTCTTAAAAAAAGAAAAGTTGTTGCCAACACCTCTGCATAGATCCAATTTTGAAACAGACACAGAAAATATAAAGTGATTTCTTAACAGTGCAATTCCTGATTGAAGCCTACTCAAGGGAAAATATCTTCACCCAATTCATTTTTGTGTTGAATACAAAACTGAGAAGAATTTGTATACGGTAACCAAAAAAACCTGTTATATTGGCTGGGCAAATAATCTTGATGTTGTATGCCTATTCCTGAATTCTGAGGTCTGGTCAATCTTAAACACTTTTTGAAAAAGACCTGAAATCTAAGAGTTCTATTCAGGAACTCCCATCAATAATTAATTGGTTAACATTTAATTGTAAAATTTCTCAAAATATTTTAGAGAATTTCACAAAATACCAAACATCTGATTTATGTTTTATGTGTAAGAAAGAAATATTTATAGTCCTATA